TAATTCTCAATCTGTTAAGAATGAATGAAGCGGCTACCTACGCTGCGTCCCACATATGATGTGTATCAAATTAGGACTCCATTGCCATGCATGCTGAACAATGTCATACACATTCTGTCACACGTGTTCCTATCTCACTCTTCCCCTCTTCCTATAAATAACCACAACACAGCTTCTCCATTTCACCAGTTCACTCATAAATCTCTCATCGGTAGTTTACGATCACACTCACAATGTCCAAACCTTTTCTATCTTTGCTTTCACTTTCCTTGCTACTCTTTGCAAGCGCATGTTTAGCAACTCACTCTGAGTTTGACAGACTCAACCAATGCCAACTAGACAACATCAATGCATTGGAACCAGACCACCGTGTTGAGTCAGAAGCTGGTCTCACTGAAACATGGAATCCAAATAACCCTGAGCTAAAATGCGCCGGTGTGTCACTTATCAGACGCACCATTGACCCTAATGGACTCCACTTGCCATCTTTCTCACCCTCTCCACAGTTGATTTTCATCATCCAAGGAAAGGGTGTTCTTGGACTTTCAGTTCCCGGCTGTCCCGAGACTTATGAAGAGCCACGTTCAACACAATCTAGACAAGAATCCAGGCAACAACAAGGTGACAGTCACCAGAAGATTCGTCAATTCAGAAAAGGTGATATCATTGCCATTCCTTCGGGAATTCCTTATTGGACATATAACCACGGCGACGAACCTCTTGTGGCCATTAGTCTTCTTGACACTTCCAACATTGCAAACCAGCTCGATTCAACCCCAAGAGTAAGTAATAGTGTATCCATACATTATATTGTCTATTATAAATTAATTTTCTAGTGTATAACATGTTATACGGAATGAATCACATGTAAATATGTGAATGCAGGTATTTTACCTTGGTGGGAACCCAGACACAGAGTTCCCCGAAACACGTAGGAGTGGACAGCACCAACAAGAAGAGGAATCTGAAGAACAAAACGAAGGTAACAGCGTGCTGAGTGGCTTCAGCTCAGAGTTTTTAGCACAAACGTTCAACATTGAAGAGGATACAGCTAAGAGACTTCGATCTCCACGAGACAAAAGGAGTCAAATTGTGCGAGTTGAGGGAGGTCTCCGCATTATCAACCCCAGGGGGAAGGAAGAAGAAGAAAAAGAACAAAGTCATTCTCAGAGAGAGGAGGAAGAAGATGAAGAAGAAGAGAAACAAAAAAGTGAGCGAAGAAAGAATGGTTTGGAAGAAACTATTTGTAGTGCCAAAATTCGAGAGAACATTGCTGACGCTGCACGTGCTGACCTCTATAACCCACGTGCTGGTCGTATCAGCACTGCAAACAGTTTAACTCTCCCAGTCCTCCGCCATTTACGCCTCAGTGCTGAATATGTTCGTCTCTACAGGGTGTGTATAGTACTCTCTAATTAATCAATATATTTCCAATTGAAGATTGTTGAAAAAAATGAACTAATTAATAACATGTATGTATATGCAGAATGGTATATATGCTCCACATTGGAACATTAACGCAAACAGTCTGCTGTACGTGATTAGAGGAGAAGGAAGAGTTAGGATTGTGAACTGCCAAGGAGATGCGGTGTTCGACAACAAGGTGAGAAAGGGACAGTTGGTGGTGGTACCACAAAACTTTGTGGTGGCGGAACAAGCTGGGGAGGAAGAAGGATTAGAGTATGTGGTGTTCAAGACAAATGACAGAGCTTCTGTTAGCCACGTGCAACAGGTGTTTAAGGCCACTCCTGCAGAGGTTCTTGCAAATACTTTTGGTCTTCGTCAACGCCAAGTCACAGAGTTAAAGCGCAGTGGAAACCGCAGCCCTCTGGTTCACCCTCAGTCTCAATCTCAATCTCATTGAGATCATGCTACTATGCAATACAATAATGAGATGGCTATCTTTTCTCTAATAATAATGAAACAATAAAGTATGGCGTTATTACCCTCTGAGCATACTCAGAATACGTATGCATCAATAGGGGGTGAATAACACTAGTTTTGTACACCTTCCAATTGCCATAATAAAATGCATACACTTTTTAAAAATTTGTCCTTCATTATGCTCTACATTAGTACTAATGAACTGTCTCAATATATTATAAGCTTTTTGATTACAACAACGTAACAATAAATTTTAAAAATCACAATTATAAGGAAGTGTAATTGTTTTCTAATAATCTTTTTCTGTGACTGGAGTAGAACTACTCCATTTCCTTACCAATAATTGTCAAACTCTAAAGAATAATCTTTTTCTCTAATGATCTTGTTTTAATCATATAGAAAACTATGATTTTTTAGATTTTATAATCAAAATTATTAAAAAGAATGCATGTAGCACAACTACCAAATGGTATCGCTCAAATTTCATTCATTTTGCATACGTACTTACAGGTGTATTATACCAAGATACATTTGCTATAAAGTGAGGAATATGGGGGTTGATTTCTTTGCCATTTTCATCAACTTCAGCAGGAACATGCCCTTCCTTACTGGCTTCCTCCAACTCCATTTTTTTACGGTTATCATGCATTGTCATGTCTGAAATTTGCAAGTAAATATTGTAATTAATTAACAAAAGAAAACTTATATCTACTACTCAATTTACTCATCACAAATATAAGAATTTGAATAAAAAATCATAAATGTTCCGGTTTTGGTTGATAGAAACCCTAAATGATCATTAACAAAAGGAGTTGATTGAATAAATTAGAATTAGGAATGGATTAGATGTTCTGAACAGGAGTATGGGAATGAGTGAGGGAGGGAGAGATTAGGATTCAAAATTCTGGCGAAAAATAAGTTAACATTTATACCTATAGATTTATATACTGTTTGTTCGGATTTTTTGCAACTACTTTTAACGGTTATTATGATATGAATAAAAATAATATACGATGAATCAAATACTTTAATTTACTTTACTTTTTTTGAATTTTAAACAAGTATTATTTAGTTTAGTTTCAAAATGTTTTAGTGTAAGATTTGATCTTAATGAGATGATAACATTTATATTTTAAAATTCTCCTTTTGGTTGAGAGAAGAGAATAGGTGGTATATACCGTGATGTTCAAATGAGTGAAAAAAAAGTAGAGAAGAATATTTTTAAGTTTTAGAGAGGGTACACTTTGATTACTATGTTTTTTATTTATGGGCAAATTTTAGGGTATGTTATTTAGTGGTCTCATTTTTAATCGCATCAGGTTATTGGTTGCATTTTTATGGTTATTTTTAAATACGGATTATAACAGTTATGTTCTGAACAGGAGTATGGGAATGAGTGAGGGAGGGAGAGATTAGGATTCAAAATTCTGGCGAAAAATAGGTTAACATTTATACCTATAGATTTATATACTGTTTGTCCGTATTTTTTGTAACTACTTTTAACGGTTATTATGATATGAATAAAAATAATATACGATGAATCAAATACTTTAATTTATTTTACTTTTTTTGAATTTTAAACAAGTATAATTTAATTTAGTTTGTAGTCTATTTGATAGCATTTCGATCAAAATGTTTTAGTGTAAGATTTGATCTTAATGAGATGATAACATTTATATTTTAAAATTCTCCTTTTGGTTGAGAGAAGAGAATAGGTGGTATATACCATGATGTTCAAATGAGTGGAAAAAAGTAGAGAAGAATATTTTTAGGTTTTAGAGAGGGTCCACTATTTAAATGTCTTTGTGCCTTGTTTTTCCCCTCCTTCAACAGGTGTGCTTCCATATTGCAGGTAAATCTTCATATATAACTTTATAGTTTCATCATGTGTTTTGAATATTAAAAGTTATGAAATTTACATCTTGTAATATTTGTTATAGATTTGGGCATTCAACCACTTATCTTTGGGGAAAGTACCTGTTGTTGCTACGTTTTCGTTTCCACGTGTTTTGAATTGGCCAGTTATAACTATGCAGAAGAAAAACATTGAAAAAACATTTGACAAAAATATGGTAAGATTTTATGTGTTCGATTTGAGGAAAATAGCTTTTCTGTTGTCGTGTGTTTGAATTGATTGTTTTTTTGTTAGATAATTGATAGAGTGGTTGCAACAGAGAAGGAACTGAATTATGATATAGTCAATGCTGCTTTGTTTGAACAAGGACAACAATTTGGGAATGTGTATGATTATCGAAGATTGGTGGATGACAATAAAGATTTCAAGGAGAGGATAGCAGCTCTTGAGGAGGAAGTGAGGATGATGAAAGAGGCAAGAGTTAACACTCCATTTCAGAATGAGGATGTTCAAGATGATCGACGACTTATTAACTTTATCACTAAAGATGCAGTAGAGACTTCGGATGGAGATATTGGACATAACACTCCACTTAATGATGATGATGCCATGGTTGAAGAAAACCTATCAAAGTCTAAATCTAACATTGCTACAAGAATGAGGAAGAAACCAAGGAAGCGTGGAAAAAGAACTAGAATGAATTTCTAATGCATTAGTGTTGTAGAAATTTGATAAATATGTATGGTAGAATTATGATGTGTTGTAGTGTAGAATTTGGCACAATTTTAACGTTTGGCACAATTATGATGTGTTGTAGTTCATTTTGGATTTAAGGTGTTAATGTGTTGAATATTTTGAAGTATCATTTGGTTCCCTTTTTTGTAAGTCTGAAATTGCATTATTGTGTTATTGTGTTTATGTTCATCATTTGGTTCCCTTGTTTTGAAGTCTGAATAGGCATTAACCAAGTTTGGTTTTGAAGTTTGGTTCCAGCAAGCAAGTCTGTGATAAAACAATTTCCTTTGTTTTGAAGTCTGAGACTGCGTTAACCAAGTTTGACATTGTATTAACCAAGTTCCAGCAATGTATTAACCAAGTCTGGGACAACGTATTAACCAAGTCTATGATAAAACAATTTCTCTTGTTTTGAAGTCTGGAACTGTGTTAATCAAGTTTGACATTGTATTAACCAAGTTTGACAATGTATTAACCAAGAATCCGTGTCTTCGCCTGATAGCAATCCACAACCAAGTAATTTTGATTAACCATGGTGATTCACACCCACGAATGCAGCAAAAGGCATGTCATACTTGTTAGTCAAGTATGTTGTGTCAAAAGTTACAACGTCTCCAAAGTATTCGTACACGGCTCTGCTTCTTGCATCCGTCCAAAATACATTCATCACATGAAAATTATCATCTAAATCTATGTCATAAAAGAAATTTGTATTTTGTTCCTGCATTTTACAAAAATAACTTATCAAAGCCTTACCATCACCTTCTTTTCCAATCGCACGATGCTCTTTGTTAATATAATTCCTCACATCTTTTTCACAAAAGGGAATATTTTCATGCCCTCCTGCATCTTTAACAAGCGATTGAAAAGTCTTGTTGATCCTTACCCCCGCATCATCATTGATTTGAATTGTTCTTCTTACATGTAAGTTCATTTTCTTGTTAGCCTTGAACAATCTTGCTTTTGTAGTACTAGTCTCATGAGAATGGTTTGCCTCAAATTTTTTAATGTACCACAAACCATCTTGTTTTAATTTAATACAAATCTTGGCAGGACAATTTTTCGCTCTAGATGGAAGTGTCTTCAACGTGCATGAAATTTTTGACCTCTTAGTCCCCTCTCTTGAACATGAAAGTATCAGGTGATTGAGCTCCCCGTCGTCTTCTTTTTTCGATGATCTAATCCTCCATCCAAACCCCTTTTTCAAAGCATACTCTTGATAATATTTTTTAACTTCCTCTAGACATGAAAAATACATCCCAATTGCAGGAACCCAAAGTGATTCATCACCATCGCCGTGATCAACTTCTACATATTCCCTTTGATTACTCTCACCTTCTATCAAAATGCTTGAACTGTCCATTATGACTTAAAAACTGCACATAAATGTTAATATTATGTATAGTAGAATTTTATAACAATGTTGGTTAATATAGTTCAAAATTATGGTTAATATTGTCTATAACTTGGTTAATGAATTCCCAGACATGTGGGTAGGTTTATAACATTGTTTATTATGAAGTTGGTTAGTGGTGTGACAGAAGTTGGGTAATACATTTCCCAAATTGGTTAACAGACCAGCATGAGTAAATATATGCAATCGTTTAGCAGTAGGTAAACATGGTTAATGGTGTGAGTAAAGTTGGACAATATTTCTTAGAACATGGTTAATGAATAGTCGTGAATAAACATGACATCAATAACAGTAGAGAAAACTAGGTTAACATTGTGCTAAATCTAAAAACATTTGAACAATCATGAATCTAGAAACTTACTGAGTTAAATCTTCATCTTCATAACATAATGATGTTAAATAAAGAAAATTTGAAGATGAAATGAAAAGAAAAGTTGTAGATGAAATGGAGAGACAAGTAGGGGATGAAAGGAAATATCGTGAATAATTAAGAAGAAGAATGAGTCAGCCATATTTATGTTATAAAATACAGCATGTGGTTGAGGTTAAGAGAGAGAAACAATAAATTTATTCAATTTACAATTGACTATGGCCCACAGAAGAAAATGGCAAGCTTGTTATATTTGTATTGCACTATAGCCCACGGAAGAAAATGGCAAGCTGCTATTCTTTGTATTGTTATTTTTTTAATATATTTGTATTGCACTATTCATACGATGTATGTGTACACACCAATGTAAGAATAGCAAAACTATATAATTTTATATGTCATTTAATGGTCTCATTTTTAATCACATCAGGTTATTGGTTTCATTTTTACGATTTAACTTAATATGTTTTCGATGGCTTATGTCCCTTCCTTCTTAAATCACCTTCATTTGTTCTAATGCGCTGATGTTATTTTAATCTCATCTCAAGTAGAAAAAGTTTTCCCCTAAGCATGACTCGTTAGAGTTGAGGTATGATTTATGAGTATATTATAAAAGGATATCAAGTGGGTGACATTTGTAGTGGATATTTCATCCATCTTTAATCGTTTTACCATTTGGCCACTGCTTACATGTTGCCTCAGATAAGTTAACCTAAGACTTCTACAAGCCGACCTGTTGTTTATATAGACCGACCTGATGACCTTGACAATCCAACTTATTACTTTCATAGATTAACCTATTGCTTTCAAAAGCTCAATTTTTTATTTTCCTCTTATTCCTTTCTTGCATTCCATTTTCTTATTTCCTCTCATGCATATATATATATATATATATATATATATATATATATATATATATATATATATATATGCATCATATTCTAGAAAGGTATTAGTGTAAAACCTAAACAAAATCAGAATTACAAAGCATTCTCATCATCTCCAACCTCTCTTTTATGCATACACACAATCAAACTACACGTATTCATTTTTTGATGGGTGACCATCTAGATTAGGGTTGATAATGTCCAATTAGGTTAGTGTAACCGAGAATTTTGGGTTGGGATCTTTGTGTGTTTCAAATAAGAAAACCAAGTTGGGATTTTTCTTCAAAATCATTGTGATTTGAAGGTTTTGGACAAGATCACACAAATACGGATTCGATTGAGTGAAGAACTTGGGACAAGGTGGATCCTTGCAAGGGAGTAGCGCGAGACAGTGAACCGTGTTCGTGAATCTTGGGTTCAACAAATGCGTGCTATGTATTAATCCGACTAAGGAAAAACCTTAAAGACGATGAGGTCTTACAAGCAAGTAGTTAAGAACTGGTGGATTGTAGCAGCATTGTTGGTGACTTGATCAAGCTTTGATCAAGGATCTGGAGGTGGTAAAATCAACAACAAATCATAGGGATTGTGGGGTTAGAGTTCTTCATCTCTTGTATAAATATTTTTGCAAAGATAAGGTTAATTGAAAGCATCTCAATTTGATTTTGAATTGAAGGCAGACGTACCCATAGCGAGGCAGATTGACAAACAGCCTAAACAAATCTTTGTGTGTGTGTGTGTCTCTCTCTCTCCCTCTATCTCTCTATATCTCTTTAATTGTTGTTCTTACAAATTATCAAATTTATTATTGTTTTGATCAATTTGATTAAAAATTGTTTTTCAATTATCTTTTAAAGTGTTGTTGTTGATATAATCATATTCACTTTGATTGTGATTAATTTTTAACATCAATAAAACAAATTAAATTTTTAAACACTATTGATCGCACTCAAAGTGTTCGTTAAATTGCTTTTGAGGATTTTAATTTATTTTTGTTCATTGGAAATAAGCTTTACCAATGGCTTATCATTTAATTAATTTATGAATTAATAATTGTTAAACAATTTGTGTCATTATCATCCAATTGGTTTACGTTACGCATATTCGAGCTTTTCGATAGTATGTTCAGTTAGACGATTCAATTCGAGTTGTTTCTGTTGTGCCATAAAACTTTTGAAAATAATTTTTGCCAAAAGTTTTGGTTTTAAATTTGTGATCTATTCACCCCCCTCTAGATCGAAGTCTATCGTCTAACAATAGTGTGATGGTCTACTATTAACCCTAATATGGTTATTTTTATGGGAATTGTCATTGTCATGATTATTTTGACAATGATATCAGTGATGTGTTCTTTGTTTACTGATTAACGCTCAACCTTTTACCCATATTGCTTCTAGATTACGGAAATATGTATTTTTTGTCTTCTTTCTTGTACTGCTTTCTCTCAACATGTTGTGCTTTTAGAGATGTTCTTTCCCTTTTTTGAAGTATTTTTCTTCTTCTCTAACTTCCTCACCATTCTACGCTGGTAAGTTTCTATCATTCATTGCTCATTTCTAATTAGCAATAATCATTAGTTTTTCAATTTATATTTTAATATACATGTTAAGCTTAATTGATTAGTTATTTCTATATTAGAGTATTTAGGAATCAATGTGCATAATAACACTTTAATTTCTTTGTGATTCTAGATTCAAAATCCATGTCTTATGATTCATATATTTTGATCATATCCTTGATTGATTGACTGATTGATCAAAATTAATTTTGATCAATTAGTCATTTGACACCTGTCTGTTTCTCCTGTCCATTCAAGTGATCATAAGCCTCTTGATCACTTGATAGGATTTGTCATGTGCGTTGTCATTGCGCTGGACCTCAAGTCAAATCAAGTTGCATACTTAAGATTTTAAAGACTTTGGACATCAAGATTGGATCACTTTTCAAGCACAACAAAAAGATTCTTCTTTAACATTTGTCAATTATGATGTGGATTACGCGCCACAAGCCTTAAGCAACGGAGAAGGATGAAAGGGGTTATTCATACCCTTATTCTGAGTACCTTTGAATACAGGACATATGCCCCAGTTATTCAAAGTATTCTACTTTGTTCATAGACTTTAATGCAATTCAAATCAAATAATTGACAAGTCGTCTTCCCCACTACAACACATAAACACTGCAATGAACATCAATAATACTCACTTGTGCACCACACTACTTGGTTTAAACACCACCTCATTTTCTTCCTTGATTTAAACACCACCTTTATTCCTATTCTTTGGTTTAAACACCATTCTTCTTTTTCTGCTTGGTTTAAACATCATTTCTTAGGTTTAAACATCATTTCTTAGGTTTAAACATCATTTCTTAGGTTTAAACACCACTTTCTTTTCCTCTAGTTTAAACACCACTTTTATTTCCTGCTCGATTTAAACACCAAACCTCTGGTTTAAACACCATTTCCATTATCCCTTGGCATAAACACCACCTTTGTTTCCTCTTTGGTTTAAAAACCACTTTTTATTCCTTGTTCGGTTTAAACATCGCTTTTATTCCTACCTGTCATACCCCAAATTTGTCCTACCTTTGTACAGCCACCACTTTGTATATTTACCCACTTGCTTCATAAAAAAAAATCCAAAAAATGTGTTGTTATTTTCACTTGAGGATGTCAAGTTAGACGTGTGGATAATGTTGAATAAGGAATGGTTCAGGTCACCTGGTTGGAGCTAATTTTTGCAAAAAATTTTAATACAGTGTATACTTCAAGACATTATTCCTTGATTTCAAGGCAATGAGGCCAAATTGGAGTAATGGTGTATTCCAGGAACGACTCATTTTATTTCATATGGTGGTTGGGTTTACGACACTGTTACATGCCATTATGGGTCGTCTCCATGTGGATCAGGATGTGCAGGAGTAGTGATTAATTCAAAGTGTTGTTTCAAGAAGAATTCAAAGATCTGTGGAAATTGTTTTTAAGATGTTCAATCAAGATTCAGTTGCTTTCCATTTTTGAAAAGTTAATTACAAAGCACGTTGGGTGCAGTTTGGATTCGATTATTTTTACTCATTTACCTTGGAAACTTTAATCGAAATGGTTGATAATTCAAGATTAAAGATCAAAGAATTCTTTAAGCAAATTTCAGGATGCAAGTAGCAATCATCAAATTCAAAGGAAATTATGATTCATTTTTTTCTTATTTGTAAATCCATAAGCCAATGTTACAATTTAGAAGGCCCATTCTCATTACCATTTCCCATACAAGTCTAATTTGGTTAGAAATTAGCAACAAAATAAATAAATAAGCCTTGTCATTTTGTTCTACATTAAAACCACATAATTTAGTATTCCCCACCCGCAAATTGACGTCCACACAGTAGTTAGGAAACATGGCCTTTACATATCCTTCAATTTTGTCTTTTTCTTGTAAATATGTGATGGTATAATTCAACATGACCCTACATGACATTTCAACCACTTCAAGACAATACAATATGATGAAAAGGAAGTCAATCACATTGAAGTTCAGGGAATGGTATAAAATCATTTTTACAATTTTCAAGGGGGTCCATAAGAGTTCATGCTTTACAAAGAGATTTTACAAAGAGAATAGGCCCACTTTATCAGCTGCCAAGAGGTTTACACTAAGTCCAAAAAATTAGGAAATGGTATAAGCCCCAACGGG